GAAAAAAGCTGTGCCCTGAAGAGAAAAATGTTGGGAATCCCCAGTGCTGGCCTCTGGGATAGAGATGTACCTGACTGTCTGGGTGTCACTGCATCCCAGCCCCGACAGAGCAGCACTTTTGGATCCTGAAGTCCTTCCTCTGGTGTAGAAGATGAACATGAGGAGTAGAAGGCAATGAGATTCCCAAGATGAGCCCCAAGCCAATGAGAGAAATATTAGCAGTAGGATGGCTCATCATATGCACATTAAATATCATATTAGTTACTGTTATACATCACAATGTCTTCCTGACATGTTTCCTGGATCATATGTTGTCGGTGTCCCATCTAGATGTGGCTGAGTAACAATATTAATAAAAAAAATCACAAAAGACACGACATTCTGTGTCATCAATAATAGGTGCCACCACCAGTGACCGTGGAGCAGGACCATGTCCCTCTGACAGAGCAAAGCCAGCGAGAACCAATGTGCATTTCTACAAGAGAAGCATCATGGGCAGTGTGGGGCATCAGCCTCCTGCCCAACCCTCAGTTCCCCTGGGAAAGGGTCTTTGGAGACAGAAACAGCCTCTTGACCTTCCCAAACTGCCCCGTGATGAGAAGTGTCACCCCAGGCCCAGGGGAAATGGGGAGCACTGAGCGCGTGTGAGGAGAGATTTAAATCCCACAGCAGGAGTGAGGAACCACGGCAGCCACACAGGCAAAGCTCCATTTATAATCAGAAAGGACAAAACAGCAACATCAGAAGTCACAGGTCATGGCCAAGCTACAGAACAGTGACCCACAGCACACACACCGAGGGAACCCCTCCACGTGACTGAAACACCACCTTCAAACACCACACAACATAAGGCAATGGTCTGACACTCCTGATGTCAGCACAGGTAAAGGCCATGGCAATGCATCAGTCTGAGTTTGGAGGGTCCCAAAATTTGGTTTGGATCTTCCCAAGGTGTTTCTGGGGTACAGTTCAAGCTGTGGTTTCAAACCCATGCACTGGGAAGCTGGAGCTGGTGCAGGAGGGCTCTGGAGCCTCTGCTCTCCCTTCTGCACTCCTTGCCCTCTGGGATCAATTTAGGTGTGGATGAAGGAACGATGGTATGCCAGACACCTTCTCATGAGGGGGCACTTTATTTTCCCCAGCAATCATCTGTGTCTTAATAAACCTGCTTTTAAACTAAAAGATTGTTATTAATAAGAGGTGGACCCAGGTTGGGGACACAAACACGCCCCAATCTTGGCACTGCAGCCTGAGTCGGGCTGTGAAAAACCCCTGCCAGCCCTGCTCCAGCTGTGCCGGGTTCAGTGTGCTGACACCTCATGGCCAAGCAAGAAACTCCAATAAGACACCGTTTCCAGGACATTCACACACACATACACTCTCTGTCTGCTCCAAGGCTGGGAAAAAGGTTCATTTATCGAGAAGTCTGTCGTGAACAGACCTGGATATACCAAAGATAGGAAATGAAACCAGTCCAGAAACACTCTGAGCTCTTGGATTACAAATGGGCACTGCAGGGTCTGTTGTCCGTCGCTGTGGTGGTCTGAGCACCCCATGCTGAGGGGTGGCTCTGATGCAGTTCTCCAACATGGTCCACGTGCTGACCCACTGCGGTCTCGGGCCTGGAAAGAGCATCCATGCCAGGGGTGCTTGTTATCCTGCTCTCCCCTCCTCCATGGGGGTCTCCCAGGGGCAGATCAGCCCCTTCGTGGAGTTCTTACGTGCCCGGGGCTGTCCGTCCTCCCCCTCCTCGGAGCCCTCAGGGCACACTCGGCTCTCCGAAGGCGCGTCCGTTCTGACTTGGAAGAAGCTGTGTTGTGAAACAGAGACTCATCACACACACACGGCACTTTTTGATGTGCTCCGAGGCAGCAAACCGAGCCCGGCTTGGAGACTTCCACTGTTCAAACCCCAAATCCCAAAGCAAAGCGCCCAGGCACGAGCCCACAGAGAGAGAAAACGAGGGGAATGTGAGCTCCCACCCCTTTGAAGCTGAGAAGCCGTGTGACACACGGAGCACGGAGCCAGGTGGAGCAGGAGCCCCCAGGTTTGTGCTTTTGAATTTATAATGTGGACTTATCCACTCAGTCAGCAGTAGAGGTGGGTTAACTGAGAACAGGGACATGGTTCTCCAAGTGAGGGACATGGCCAGGGTTTGGTTCCGACAGGGAGAGCCTCTCCTGGAAAAAATCCCCCGTCTCACACCTCCTGCCCCAGAGCAACAAATGCTTCATGACTCTCCCTCAAGATTTCTCCTCCCTTGTCACTTCTGGGTCTCCTCTGACTTGAAACCACTAAAGCAAACCTGAACCAGTGCTCGAGAACAAACACAAATACGCAAGTGGTTTTCCAAATTGAGGGACTAAAAGTAAAACCTGGGGGTTTGCACCCCTGAACAGGAGGTGTGAGCACAGCAGAGGCACCACCGGAGTGAGCTCCTGCCCCAATCCCATCAGAAAACACATCCAATGTGGACAGTAGGTGTGGAGACAGGGGGAAGAGACACTTCCAGAGCCTGGCCGGGATTTAGGTGGCACAGGTGGGATTGGTGGGGCTTAGCAGCAAGGGTAGGAAAGGCAGCTGTGGGGTGGGTTCTTGGAGACCTCTAATTACAAAGAGCAGTGGTGGTGGAGGGGAGGATGCCCAGGTGCCCGGGCAGTACTGACCTGCTGACCACCTTGGCGTCCGGGCGCAGCCGCCGCTCCCGCTCTCCCAGCGGCTGCACCTTCCCGTGGGGCACGGCCGGGCACCGGGGCGACAGCACAGCCAAGGTGGGCGAGGTCCAGCAGCCCCTCCTCAGGAACCGGCCCAGGGACCTCCTGCTGCCCGAGGGGAAGGGTCCGGGCCCGGCCCCCCGGGGGTCCTGCAGGGTGCCCACGGTGCCACCGCTGTCCAGGGCCAGGCTGGTGGGCGAGGGGCAAGCGGGGCCCTGGGGCAGGGCCGGGGGGCCTGGCGGGGTTGGAGGCAGGGTGGGCAAAGGAGGGGTGCTGGTGCCAGCTTGGGCAGCCGGGCGAGGGGCCTGGGAGGCGAGGTGGCACGGCTGTGGGGAGGAAAAGGAGATAGGCTCAGTCAGGCTCGGCAGTGGCACACTGGTCTCTCCAGGCTCCATCAGGAGAACAAGCCCGCTGCTTCTCTGGAGAAGGGCCCAGTGCCACAGTGCTGTCAGGAGAGACAGGGCTCAGCTGGGAGGCAGCTGTCAGCCACCGCAGCCAGGCCTGTGCCAGTGTCCCCACCCTGCAGCTCTGTCCCCTTCCCTGCCCTCCAGCAGGAGCGTGGAGGTGTCACAACTTGCCTATGGAAAGCAACGGGGTCATTGCTACCAGCCTCAGTGGGTGCTGACAGATCCAGCCCCACGCCCACTGGGATGCTGGAGGAGACACCAGCTTGTCTCATTCCTCACAAGGATTAGCTCCAGGCACGGGGGAGCCTGTCATCCCGAGAATGTGATCTTGGTTATGAACACCACAGCCGTGTCACACCCAAGGCAGCACTGCGCTGGCTGCTGCCGTGCCCAAGGAACACACTCTGAGCCCAGGCCCTGATGACTGCTAATACAAATCACACCTTGTGCTGAAGCCCCCAGTGTCCCTGGCTGGGCTCTAGCTCAGCTCATTCAGCCCTCAGGACAAGCCCAAGTATAAACTGGACAGGACAAGCACAGGACAAGTAGCAGAGGACAAGCTGCATGCTGGGTCCCCCCCATTTCCCAAGGACTCACTCCCAGCAGAAGTGAAATGCAGCTCAAGTGTCCAAGGAGAAGGGCTGAGGGCAGAGGCACACACAGAACATGTACACACACATGCAGTGATGACACAGTGAGCAATGAACACACTGAGACGCAACAGAGAAGACGAACTCGGTTCTTCTTCCATTTTCTACATTTATTTTTATTAGACAGATGAATGAGCGGGAGAGATGACCAAGAAATGAAACAACACATTGCTGATTTCCAATGGAAACAAACAATTTCTGGCACAAAGTGAAGTTCAGCTTGTACCAGGCGACCCTCCTCTTCGGGGACTGAGCAGCGAGGGACGAGGAGCAGAAGGCTGGGCTGTGAGGAGCAGAAGGCTGGGCTGTGAGGAGCAGAAGGCTGGGCTGTGCCAGCTCGTTCAGCCTGTGGCAGAGCAGAGCCAGCCCCTGCCTGTGTGTGTCAGACAGGTGTTCCACAAGCAGTGACTGGTGTTCCACAAACACAGTGACTCCTGAACGTGCCACACTAACCCATGCCAGGGGAACAGCGGTGCAAAGCAGAGATGATGAAAACTCAGAGAAAGGAATGGGTACAGAGAACATAACAAGCAAAGCAGCAGACAAAATAGAAGTAGAATCAGAGGGACTGACTAGAACACACAGATTTGTTATTTATTATTTATACCCTGACTTGATCTTCCACATGTTACTACATACTGGCAATCCCAACATGCTCAGTGCTCCATGTTACACAAACTCTGGAGTGACTGTTGAGCTCATCACAGCCAAGGAGCTTTGGACCAACCCTGCCAGATTTTGGAGTATCTTTCAGTGCTCTTATGTCAAGGTAAGTTGATGGTGCTCAGCACCTGACATAACAAAGCCTTGGGGTTTTAAGAGGAATTAAAGAAAAGGCTGATCCTGCTCCCCTGCAGAGCATTGCAAAATGTGCCTTTGCTTCCACCAGGAGTAAGAGCAGAGACAGCCAAGGCCTTGACATCAGAGTGAAAGTCTTGGGCAACTCAGTTTCAATTCCTCTAAGAAGGTTTATCACCAATAGGTTAATGAAGGTCAGGAAAATCTCCCTGGCTCGGCCACGGGAGAAAGAGATGAGTTCTGCAGTGACACCAGATCAGACTGTGCAGCCCTGATTCTGCCCCTGGTAACACACACGGGGAGGGCAGGAGTCACTGTTCAGGCTGTTTTGGGACACAGTGACATCCTGACTGTCCCCCTGTTCACAGGCAGTTAGCCTGCATGGACCTGGGGACCCCAGGGCTCCAAGGGGCTGGTCTGCATGCATCTGAGGTCTAGTGGAAGGTGTCCCTGTCCATGGCAGGGGGTGGAACGAGGTGATCTTTAAGGTCCCTTCCAACCCAATCCAACGTTCCTATGATCTCCCATTTCCTGTAAAATCCTACCAGTATTTAAAATAGATGAACAATACAAACCAGAGAGAAGCAGTTTCCCATATCTCAGTGCTTCCACACAGTCCCTCTACTTCCCTAAAATTTTAACAAACAAGGAAGATTTTCTGTCCCCCCCCCAATTCCCTTTATTGGGCTTTGCAGGAATCTTTGCACTTCTGGTAATCACTGGCCTGGTCCAGACATGCTGTGCTTTCCCAGCAAAGCCTGGAATCTCTCCGAGCTCTTTAGCACTAAAATAGTATTTTAGTTTGCCTCATTCTACAGAGCAAAAGAGACAGAGCAAATAAAAAGAAAAACACTACTTTAAGTTGAAATCAGCTCTTAACACCTCTACCCTGTCCTCTCTTGCCTCTGGGCTACAACTGGAACTACCTCCTGTTGGGTTTTTTAACAAGACAAAATAGAAGAGCAGGAAAAAGACAAGACAAGAGGTGGGAAGGATTTGATAAAATCTCTCAGGGTCTCGTGCAGGCTCTGGCAAGGGGTGGTTCTTTGCACCTGCACACCCAGCTCATGGCACAGGGAGAGCAGAGCTTCTCATTGATCATCTCCAGCGTGCTGGGAGGATCTGGGAGTGACATTCAAATTCAACCACAGCTTCAGAAACACTCAGCAAGGAGCCTCCCTGGCTCTTCTGCCTGTGCTCCTGTTGCATTAGCTGGGAGGTGCAGGATACTTGGAGTGAGGGGTGTGCTCCTCTCAGAGGGTGTCAGATGCACCCCTTGGGAAGGTGCACATTCCCCCAGGGGATGGAAGCCAGCATGGACACTCTGAGGTGGGTCACCTCTCCCTGCTCCCCTCGGGGTCATTCACTTCTGCTCCCAGGAAGGCTGGTTTGGACCCAAAGGATTGGAAAGGGCAGCACACTTTACTGGGTGCCATCTCACCTCCCCGAAGAGCAGGAGGCAGGGAGAGGCAGTTGGGCTACCCAGCCTCCCGGGGGGAATCTCGGGACAGGCAGAAGTCATCTCCCCTCCGAGGTGTGTGGGGGGGGAGCCGGGGTCCTGCCCTCCGAGCCTGGCACAGGCAGCAGCCCGGCCCTGCCAGCACTCCCTGCCTGGCATGCCTGGGAAGCGACATCTGCTCTCCAGAAGCCATGGCAACGTGCGGGAAGCCGGCTGATGGCAGAGAGCCGGCCTGGGAAACCTAAAGCAGCACTGACACCTTCAGGAAGGGGAGACGAAGCTCAACACCGGCCTCGGCTTGTCTTTTCCCTGCGCTGTGCCCTGCGGGGCTCAGAGCCTACTTGGGAGGCTGGGGCTGGTTCCTGCGGTCCAGCTTGCTCATGACCTGCGTGATGTCCACGGTGGCGGCGGCTTCCCTGGCTTTGGCCTCTTCCTCCTGCTGCCTCAGGATGATGGGGCTGGGGCTGGAGCGGAGGTGGCGGCGCCCGAACAAGCCGGTGCTGGGAGGGAGTGAGGGAAAGGAGCAGGGTGTTAGTGTGGAGAAGGGCACCAAAAACTCACCCCGGGTAAGCAAAGTCACCAGGATGGGCACAGGGGCGGATAAAGAAGTGCAAAATGCAGAGGAGGTGGTTCAAAGCAGGACTGGGTGACTCATCGTCACACGTCAGCTACAGAACTGCTAAAAGCGTAAAGGCAGTGCTGGTCCTGCTCCTGAGGGGCTCCAGTGCCCATCCACACTCCTCCTGTTGTTGTGTTTGCACATAACTCACACTGGTTGTGGAGTCAAACAGTGTACATCAGTGGAATTTTCTCTAGTATCCTAAGTAAGATCAAGACAGGGACCTGTACGAGCGTTTCTTTGTGATACCCAAAAACCCCACCTGCTCCCTGCTACAGCAAATCCACTTGCAGCAGCACTGGGAACAAGAGTTAACCCAGCTCTGGATGAGGTACCAGCTCTCCAGCTTTACAGGATGCTGAGTACTGAGTGTCCAGAACAAGCACTGACAAGCACAAAGGCAGCCACCAGGATCAACTAGCACCAGCCAGCGACCTCGTGATGTGTGGCTCAGGGACAAACTAACCAGACCCCAGACAAGTCAGCAGCAGGGCTTTTTCCACTGCCTTGAAATAGGCTTTAGATGAAACAACAGTGTGAAAGTCCACGATTCCTCTTTCTTGCTTGCTGGGTTGGTGAGTGGAAGAGGAACAGAGAAAGGAGCACATCACCCAGCCTGGCTCTGACACTGCCCACTCAGCTTTAGGAGCAACTGCAGTTCAAACAGCCTAAATTTGCTGTACACCCTTCACCTTGCTCAGGAAAAACCCAATTCTAAGGGCATCCACCTTGTGCCAAGTGCCACTCACAAGCAAGGTGCTGTTTGTTCCCATGTGCTTGTCACCTCCCCTAAGCAGCTTTGTCCAGGCAGAGCTGAGCAGATCCCACAGAGGATCCTGAACCCTGGCTCTGGCTCTGCTCTGGCAGTCAATGTTTCATGGGCAGGAGTTTTCCCATGCCCAGGACACAGTGCTCTCTCCTTCCAGGAAAGGAGCCATGATTAATTCCACAGTCACAGCCCTTCTAAACAGACCCAACAGAGAAGGCAGCTGAGAATTGTCACGTCTATTCTGACTGTACACAAGCCACTTCCAAAGGGCTCACGAATAAACAGCACCACCAGTCTCAAAGCAAAGCATCTTCTCAGTGAAAAATTTTATTTAATTAAGAGAACATCTAAATCATAGTAATTTTGCTGCAACTTGGGCTTTTTCTACCCTTGCTACAACAAGGAAAACAAACCCCACAATTACAGCCAGTTTCACTTGCCTTTTTTTGACAGTCTCTTGTGGCACAACAGCCTTGGCCAGCATTTCCTTGTATATTGGAGACTTTAAATAGCGGCCATAGGAGTCCTACTAGGAGAAAAAAGAGAAACTGGTAGTTATGGGCTGCAAACACCCTTATTAAAATCACCACCAAATACAGCTGCTCAGGAGCCAGGGAGGCTGGGAACTGCATAATCTCCCCCAGCAGCCCAAGGGACTTTGCATCTTTCAGGCAAATGTAGCTATTTAAACCAATACCCTTTCATCTTGGTGTAAAATTCCCAGGATTTTCCATCTCACAATAAAGCTTCGCAGGTAAGACCCAGCTCAAAAGATCTGAATGGAGCTTAACCCAGGCCAGCAGGGTGTCACAGTCACTGCAAGGTGAGGAGCTTGTATTTCAGGAGCCAAACTTTTCATCAAGGGGTGAAAAATCAGTCTGGTTCTGCTGCTTTCAGTGCAATGTGCATGAGCTGGTGGAATCAGAAAGCAGGACTTCCAGCAGCCACCTGACCCCCACCACCTTGGGGACAGGCTGCCTTAGAGGGAAGAAGCAGCAGCAAAACAGAAAGGCCTGAAGCAGCACTTGCTTAACTCAGCAAACTCGGGGGATTTTCAAACAAAGGCCCCTTAAAAGAGACAGCTGATAACACACAAAGGCACTGGGAAAGGCCCAGAGGACTGGAATCCCTCTTAGGCTTTGGAAACAAATAACAAACCTTTTTCATCAGCATGTAAATGTGGGTCTGAGCAGCATCTAGAACGTATCTGTGAGGGTGCTTGAGGCCTTTCACTGTGATGCCCATTGTTGTGCCATCGATGTTAATCCAGCGCCGTGCTCCTGGAGCCAGGAAGAGCCTGCATGGAGGAGGGATCCACAGTGCCATTAGCAGTTGGGGAATTCATGGGGATTCCTGCTCATGCACAAAAGGAAAAGTCCCTTCAGCTCCCCACTCAATTTGCTGTCCTGATCTTGGGCAATCTCCATGTCCAGAGACATGCAGACACTTCCTCTTGAGCTATAAACCAAATTTTAACCCACTGGAAGCAAAAGGGTCTTTCCACTTTCCTCATGGCAGCCCCATGATCTTTGCCATTCCACACTGCTATTTAAATTACATGCTGATACTGAAATGTCATAGTGGAGAACAGAGAGGAAAAGTACCAACATAACAGAACAACACTTCTGCTTTCATCTCCAAAGGTTCCTTTCCTATGGGGGGTCATAAGACAGCCACAGGTTACACAGAAAAGTTTCAGGAATAAATCATTTGGAGAATGACAGCCAGTGGAAGGTGGTGGGACTCGTGTACAAAGAGTTTAAGAATGTAAAATTTTCACACTCACTTGTAAATTTCTTCTGCTTTTTCTTTGACCTTGGATTGGTCTCCATACTTGAGATCCTCACAGGCTTCCCAGAAACTCAGATTCTCTCCTGCATAACAAGGAGACAATCGGCAGAGAGTGAGACTGAGGAAAACACAATCCCATTTATTAACTCCTAAGCTGAATTTGTTTGGCTCAATATGTGTTGGCCCTAAATCGATCTCTCCAACTCTTCAGCCAGCTGGAAAATCCTCTTGGGACCGAAGGAGGAAAACAGCTTTCCCCTGCTCTCTGCCCACTGACACCTCTAAGAGCTTGTGAGTTCAGCCAGTTCCAGCTTCTCCAGGAGGAATCACAGAATCCTAGGATGGCTTGGGTTGGAAGGGACCTCAAAGATCATCTTGTTCCACGCCCTGCCATGGGCAGGGACACCTTCCACTAGCCCAGGTTGCTCCAACCTGGCCTTGGACACTCCCAGGGATGGGGCAGCCACAGCTTCTCTGGGCAACCCGTGCCAGGGCCTCCCCACCCTCCCAGGGGAGAATTCCTTCCTAAAATCTCATCTAAACACGCCGGGCTGTACCGTGTGTCCCGTGCCACTAGATGGTACCACTGCCCTGGCTGCACAGCCGCTGCCTCCAACAGCCCTTCTCTGCCTGCACTGGGTGGCACTGCCACTGCCTCGGCCCAGGGACACGGGCAGGGACTCAGGGACACAGCAGACCCACCGCTGAACTCCTTCTTCAGGAAGAGCTGGAAGTTCTGCCGCCCCTTGGGGTCTCGGATGAGCTCGCTGAAGTTGAAGGCCCATCTCTCCACACGCATCCTGGTGGGGACTTCCACCCTGCCCGGGGAGAAAAACAAACAGCACTGCCAACTTCGGGTGGCCCACCTAATTAGCAGATTAATTAAAACCAAAATGCCCTTTGTTGGAATGCCAAGGGACTTCTCAGCACTCTCTGTTTTCCAGAATGGTGTAATGAGCTCCTGAAGTCAACCCACTAAGTTGTAATTAAACAACTCAGTCCACAGCGGGATGAGGATTTAACTGGGATTTATGCTGCTCTCTGAGTGACAGCCCAGCTTGGCCCTGAGGTTTGACTCAGTCCCATTCTGGAGGAGGCACTGGTTGCTGCCCAAAGCTTTGCTTCTCATAAAGGCATTCAGGGAAGGCATCCTCTGGGGTTGTCTAATGGGACAGAATCACTCTAACAGGATTGCTGGTCTCACACGAGAACCAGTAAGATGTTGTTTGCTTCAAGCCCTGAGATGCCACTGTGTAATTAGCAAATATTATCCAGAGGGAAAACCAAGGGAGAAAGGACATATCACCAGTGTGTGCCTCCAACCCAAAGTCTCTCCTAAGAAAGCAGCCTGAGGTGTGAGCAATGACCAAGGGGAGCAGCTGAACCCTGAACTGCTAAATCATTGTCAGCACCCCATCGAGGTTAACACCGAACCACGTGTTACACCTGAGTGTAACTGGTCATATCCCATTCCTGTGCTGGTAAAGGTGGAGTTCACTCATCCAAGGGGAGGATGAGACACACTCAGCAGGGGCTGAGTGCACACTCCCATCATCAGTTCAGGAATTTCTGTAATGTTAAGGAAGGCTCCACTTGAAGAAGGCAGTGCTGGAAGTTCAGCACGGAGTATTCCCAAGTTTCTTTAGCGTGGCCCAGCTGTGTCATAAAGGGAACACTTTGCTCATGATCAGAGAACAGATATGACAATGAAATCAGTGGTTCCCTTTCCTGATTTCTATCAGCATAAGGGTCAGTGTAAACCACAAGCTGGCAAAACAATACAAATACACACAGCTTTGCATTGAGATCCCAGAACTCGGGGTCATCTGTTATCCAGGGGTTGCTGGGGAGGCATCCAGACAGAATAGGATCATTGGAGAGGAACTGCTCAGAGTACTTCACAATCCTGCAACAAATCCAAAATCAAAATATTAATTTGAAGCCAGAACTACAGCCAGCCCCATCACAACCACATAACTGGTTGTACAGTCTATAGATCTCCTCAGAGGTGCAGCCCTATCAGCAACAGGGATCTGGAACATGACCCCTGCCTTCCTAGAAAAACTGATTCATTAGCTCAGTTAACCTTTTCCATTTCCCAAACAGAAATCTCCTGGCTGTCTTTCAAAGCAGTGAATTTGTCAGTTCAAGGGTAAGGAGATACAAGACTCTTTTCAATCACCTCTTTTTGCACCTTCACTTCAAGAAGTGGGACTAAGCCCCCGAATGGTTTCTGTCTCCTTCTCTAGCCAGCTGGCAAAGGCTTGATCCTGCACCATCCTGGGAGGGAAGTGCCAGAGAAGAGGAACACAAGCTCTGTGTTCACTCAGGTAGGTTCTCCCCAGCATTCCCACAAGCTGTGGGAGAGCCCAGGGAGCTTCAGGAAACTGAGGGAGTCCTGAGAGCTCATCTCAGCTCTTCTTTTCCTCCCTCACCTACCACACAGCTCATTCCTCTGCAAATGGCTCTGAGGGCTTGGCACAAAGCAAAACTGTCTCTATCCCAGCAGGAATCAGACAAACACTTCTACCTTCTAACTTGGCCAGACTTATAATTACAACCGATTTCACTAATGTCCTGGAATTTTAGCTCTCTCCTCCCTTTTTCATTCTCGAAAAAAATTATCTGGTTTCTGTGTTTAAAATTCCTCCCAGGCCAAAGTGCTTTCATGTGCTCAGAGCTGGGAGTGCACTGTCCAGGGGCCCGTTGCTAACGGGCACTTTGGCACAGATCCTGCAGTTATACAATGCTCCTGCACAAAGCAAACCACGGGCTGGCACACAAGTGCTCGATCCTATCTTCCCACTGCAAATGCCAAGGCATCCAGCACCTGCATGATTCACTACAGTCCATATATTCTAATCAAACAAATCTCAACCTGCCAACCCAGGTAACACAGCCCTGTCCTTTCGATGATTAGTGCTCTGGAGCTCCTCCTAAATCAGTGCAATGCTCTGAAGGGTGCACACTGTCCAGCTGCTGCTCATCGATAATAATCTGATTTGGACCCAATCCTGCAGCTGACATGGAGCTCCAAATTTCCTGAGGATTTTTCATCTAGGTGATAGGTAGAACTAATCCCATCAGAATGAATGAGTGAAAAGCCCCATTGTCAAACAGTTAAGCAACACAAAATTCCTGGAAGGTAGCCAGGTGTCCCCAGCTTCAGCTTGGAAAATTGAGGCAGGACAGTTTGAAGTGACCTCGAGTCAGTGACAGATTAAACGAGCAGAACTGCTGGTGCCCTCCAAGTCCTGACTCTCAGAAGACAGATTCTCCCTCACATTTCATTCATCCACAACTGTCTTCTCCAGAGAACAGGCTTGAGCACCTTGTTTATCTTAGATCTGGTATGAATCTCTGGTGGCAATGACTGTGGAAACCAGACAGGTGCTATGGGCTGCACTTGGTCAGCACACAAGGCTCCAGGTGAGAAATGCCTCTGGCAAACACACAGATGGCTCGTGCCAGGACTGGATGCTTTGCACTTAACTGGCTGCATCAAGAATCTGATCAGGAAACACTCCCACTGGGAAGAGGAATTGCTAATTAATTGCTGTCATGGAGAGGAGTGTGTTCCTCTGTAATACAGAACCAGCAGCGACTTCCCAGCTCTGCTGCCTTCTGGTGAACATCACCATGGAGCAGGAACACTCATGGGGGTGAATCCAGCCTAGCAGGCTGGCAACCAGGAGTTGGAGGGTCAGCCTTTCCCCTCTGGTTGCTCATCCCTGCTGGACCCTCACGAGGCAGCTCCACTCAGCTGCTTTTCCAGACTTCAGAGCTGTGTCCCAGCGCCACAGCCCAGCCCAGCCTGAGCATCCCTTGATTTCAGAGGGAATCTCAACCCAGGGGCTGGTGCTGCTCCCTGGGAGCCTCTTCATCCTGCCTGGGACTCTGATCCCTCCTCTGCCTCCCAGCCCAGACAACACAGAGCCCAGACAGCCCAGCATGAGGCCACCACATTGATTCCCTGGCTGAGTCACCAGCTGCTGGAGCAGACAGCTTCATCATCTCATTAGGAGATAAGCACTGAAGACTAATTAATGTGTGGACAGAAGGAAATCAGGACTTACCCTCCAAGAGAGACAGAAGATTTCACTCTGGTCTTCCCAATGGCCTGCTGATAGTACATGATCTGAGAGGGATCAGACATGGCCATGGTTAGGAGCGTGGAGACATGAAGACAAGGCCTATCTGAACCTCAGATATGCCCCCTCCCAGGTAGTGAGGCTAACTACAGCAGGGACTGCTTCTTCCCTAATTATTGCATGTCCAAGGAATCACAGAATCCCTAAACTGCCTCACTAAAATGTCTGCTTTCACTGAGCTTACTGCAAACATCAGAAAAGCATTTTGCAATGTGCAAGTAATTAAAAAGCGCTCCCCATGCTATATAAAAATTGAATAATAGCTACCATCCTCGGCACCTACAAATGCTCTGGATGATTTAGCATGTAATTATCATTGATTCTTGGTTGTCTCTGCGCTGGCGCCACTGGATGTATCTCCTGTGATTTCCCCACCACTAATTCTGATCTATTGGATTTAGCCCTGGTGTCTGTCCTTGCTTGAGCCTTCCCATCACTGGGAGAGCTGCTGGCTGCCTGCACTGGGAGGTGCAGGGGCAGGGAATGTCCTGAAAGCACACTGACCAAAACCTCCACGGGGCAGGGACTCTGTTTTTAAAACACCCCCTGCACAGGGGGTTTGAGCCCCCATCCTACACTGGTATAAGCAACACATACAGGATGAACACCTGGAAGAGAGGGAAGCACCACTTACCTCTCTCCTATAAGCTTCCATAGTATTTTTCTGTAAAAGAAAGAAAACCATTACATTGGGATGGGTGATTAAATTTGCCTTTTTTTTTTTTTTGAGACATGGAAACACCGTTGCAGGGCTGCCACTGTGCAGTGCTCTCCAATTAATTCTCATTACAATTAAAATCAAACACAGCAGCTCAGCTAATCAGGGTATCATCAAAGCTAAGAGCATCCACACACGGTAAATCGTCCCATTAGCTGTATTTACTGTTTAGCATTGCTTCTCCCATCACAGGCTGCCTGCATGCCTTCAATTAAGGGGTTATTCTAATGGAGCTAAAATAGATTCATTTACGAGACACAGATTAGATCATTCAATATTAGCTAAAGGAGACAGGAACCAACACATTGCAAAATATAAACACCACAATTAAAAGCCTCAGAAGCAGTATCTGCTGTGTAAGGGGTGTTTACGTTGTGATTTGAATAACTCAGACTATGTTACATGTCATCCACAAATGAGCAAGCAATTGAAGGCAAGAAATTAACTGCAGGGTGTTTATTCACACAGCTTCCTTTGAAGCACAGTTACTTTGTGTGAAATAAACTGCAGAAGGGAGAAGGAAAGACAGGCTAAGTCAGGGATGCTCCCAGCAAGACTTTAAAGGCTCAGGAGGGGTTTCAGTTCTTCAGTTCCTGTTTTAGCCAGCATCCCAGAAGTTCTATCAAAGTAACCCTGTGGCAGGCAGGAGTCTGCAGAGTACCTTGGTGAAGTCTGTGAGAGGTGAGGGATGAAGCATCTGGTACCAAATGCCACAGGCAGCCCTGCTTCTCCCCTCATCTCCCCAGAGAACCTGCACCCCGAGCTGCCTCTATTTTTGGAAAGGGAAGATGCTCCCCCAGGGCTGCTCTGTGAGGGGACCATCATGGTGCAGACCTGCTTTTGCATTTTAACCATCATCACGAGTCCCGCTCAGGATGGAGAAACTGTTCTGTACGTGGAAGAAAAATATGCACATTTTGCTGAAACTTGCTTGGTTTTGGGAGGGCACACTCACCATTTCAGCAGCAGGAGCCAGATATGCAGCAGATCAGTCAATCTCTACAGCACTGCCATGGAGCCAACCCATCTGACCCTAACACTGACCCAGCCTGGCCAGAGCAGCACCAACAGAAATCACATTGGCTTTGAGAAAGGGAGGAAGCTTTTCCTGCTGGAAACACCATGACCAGCTCTGAATGTGGCAGCACACATCATCTCAGCAGGGACACACAGGACAGCAAACCTCCCTCACTGGTTCCCAGGCTGCTGGGATATCTTATAAATGAGGGAGGACCCATAAGCAAGGAACAGCTTTTCACCCTTCTCTGCTCTTTGCTGTACCCCTGATGCCAGGTCACCTTCCACGTAGACACCATTCCTTCCCCCCATTTCTACAGTGTTGTTGTTTCAGACAGACTGCAGAAATGGAAGGCAAAAAAAAAAATCACCTGCTTGAGCAGAGAAATTTGCTGATTTACGGTCTTAGAAGTGTCCTCTTTAGAGACCTGTGTTTCTGTTGCAGGCCAGCTGCCTCCTGCACAACAGGAGTTCCCTGTCTCCTTGGGGAACTTGAGATATAAGCCAGGCCTCATCAGGTTTACAAGTGCCAGCTGAGCAGTTCCATTTGATGGAATTTGAGTGTGGCTAATGCATTGACTTTAAAATATTAAAATCATTAGTTGTTTTAAAAAAACCCCTATTTTTCTTCCACTTTTTTATCAAGTGGGGCCTTGGACAGGCCTGGTGCAGTGGGGTGAGGAGAGGTGGGTGCTGGCATAGTGGCTTGGAGGCAACTCATGTGGCAGTATAGTTTTGTTATCTTCTAGAAGGGTCTGAGAGGTTGGCAGCACACCACACACACACAAGACAAAACAGCTGTGGGAAAGAGAAGAAGAACACAGTAAGTTAAATGTTACATAGAAAAGGAAAGGCATGAATTAAAATGCTATGACAATACAAAAATTATATGTGGGTGAGTCAAAATCAAAGCCAATGCCATGTCTGCAAACAAGGGAAGATTTTATTTTTTTTTTTTTAAGTGCACCCTACACCAAGAATCCCCTCCTGCCACTGTCTGAGTGTGGAGGGCAGTGTGGTGGACAGCTGGGCCTGGGAAAACCAAGGGGGCCTTGGTGGGGTGATGGAGGTGGGGAGGGGATTTGCCAAGGCTCACTCAGAAAAGGGGGCTGAGCACCACTGAACTGCAGCAGAGCCAAAGGGGAGCCCAGTGCTGAGCACCCCGTGAGGCTGCAAGTGCTGGCTGTGTTCAGCCCTTTCCAGTTCCCAAACTGACAGTAACTGGGAAGAATCTCAGCTGCTTCACCCCAGAGCTGCCCATCATTTCATTTCCCTTTCTCCCACAGTGCTCCCACAACCAGTTCCCAGCTTCACTGCTGCCACAAGTGACCCCGAATACTCTCTGTGTCCTGCTGAGCACTGCCAGTGGTCCCCACCATTCCACCCATCCTCACCCCCACAACTGCCTGCAGCGGTGCCAAAGTGCCCTGTGCCACCCAGCCACTCTCCCTTCATTTGGAAGGAAATCATATTCGGAACAAAAGGCTCATTTCTGCTAATGAGATTAATTTTGCAATGCCCTTAACGAGTGACTTATCGCAATTACCGCGGATCAGCTCCCCCGCCCCGCGGGCTTCAAACCAAAATGGCAATTAGTGAAAGGCCTGGGTCTGTCTCAGGCGAGTGCCACGAGCTGTTACACATCCTCCTCCTCCTCCTCCTCTTCCTCCTCCTCCTCCCCGGGACACATCCTGGTACCCGGGACACCCTTCCCGGCCTTGTCACATCCCAGTGCCTCTGGCTGAGCGCTCCCAGGACACAAAGGCTGCAGAGCTCAGCTGGGAGCCAGCCAGGACCTGCTCCAGAGCCTGTGCCTGGACCTGATCCACGTGGCTGATGCCACGAGCTCCGACAAGAGCTGGGATATCTGCTAATTCCCAACCACCCATTCACATGGATCTCCTCTGCTCTCGGCGTGGGCCTTCCTGACCACAGCGGGGAGGTGATGGTCATTATGTTTTTGCCTGTCTGGCCATCATTCCCTGTTTACACAGCTCATAAACAGCTGGAAACAGCTTTGGGGTGTATGCCCAGATGAAGCTTGGAGAGAAGAACAAGCAGAGGTTGTTGTCCAGAGCTCGTTTTGGACCGACCAGGACACTGCAGATCCCGACAGAGACACAGCAGGGAGCTCTTCAAGATGTGAGGCTGATCCCAGGAATCCTGCACAAGCACGGGGCAGGGCCAGCTCAGCTCGGCCTCCCCCTGGAGCTCAGTGCAAGGCAAACCTGTGGGCACTGTCCTTCCAACATTGCAAGCTGAACTGTGGCACACAGAGCTGCCCCTGCACACACCAACACCCCTCCTCAGGGGCAGACGTGGCCTTTCCCTACAGCCCACGTGCCAGAGGCAAATCCCAAGTCTGGCACGAGATCATCTCAACACTCATCTCCAATGTGCTGGTGCATCCAGCCCAGCAGCTGGAAATCAAATCCCTAACAGTCCACATGCCCAGTTTCACTCAAAAGGCCAGTTTTCCCCCCTCTTGTTTATCTGCTCCTGACCCTGCTCTTTCCAAAGATGTGATGATGCAGCAGAACTTTATCAGCCAAACTGACAGAGACTTATTAAATTAAAGGCCAGCAACGACTCGTTGATCTGTGGCTGATTTGCTGTGTATAACGAGCCAGGGCATCTCATTCAGCAGCCCCTGAATCCAGTACAACGATTTTGGGAGAAGCTAAAGCACCTTTCAGAAACATTCTGGTTACAGGAGGCAGAAACTGAGCATGAACCTGCAGGCACTCAGCAGGTCTGGCAGTTGCCTGGTAACTCTCTGAGCAGTGAGGCTCAATCATGAGTCTGAGAACTGGGTAACAAAAGGCTAAAGCAACACTTAATTAGCTGCTCGATTGATGGCTACTTCTGCCTTAGCTACAACCCCTAACTCATTATAACAGTAAGGGATGCCCATGGGTCAGTAATAAAAGTTCCCTACAAAGGAGTTCGAGCCCTTGTTTATCCCCAGAGGACTCTATCAGTCAGGGAGGGAGCAGCCCACCAAAGGATCTGGGCAAGTGAAAGATGTTCGTGCCAATATCAGCTTCAAAGAAGCCACTCTGATGTCAAAAAATAATAATTTTCTTTCTCAACTGCCAAGACAAAAACCCCAATTATTTGGCCAACAAAGTGAAGGTTGGATTGAGCAGGAACAGAGACACAAATCAGAGCTTGGCCCATCCTTTCTGTTCACCAAAGCTGTTGAGCCACAGGTGTCTGTGAGAGGAGCCTGCAAGAAGTTAAAAAACAAAGCTGCCTGTCCAAAGGAGACTCCATGTGGGCTTTTGGCTGTCTCATGTGTTGTCAATCGCTCTCTCAAAAGCAAAAGGAGCAAGAAGAACTTTCCCTCTTCAGCTCAGCCTCCAGAGACCAGCTTAAAGGGGAAGGGCAGTGAAGTCACCCCAAAGCTGGTGTCTTTTGGTTTATGCCCTCCTTGGAGTCTCCACTGACAGGGAGAACCGACCACCTCTCATTCCAGGGTAGAACTGAACAGAGATCCCTCAGCTCACTTCCTCTTGGAGCTGGCAGATGGCTGTGGGCTTTCAGACCGTTTGCAAACCTAAAATCCTTTCCGTGTCAGCTGTAAAACCGTAGGCGAGGAGTTGGCTTACTCCTCTCTCCACCACTTCTTTACTCTTAAAAAAGACTTTAAAAAAGGCTTTCAACAGCTGCTACTTACAGCAAGGAAAAATAAAATACACCCCAAGCCTACACTTTGCTCCTTTTCAGTCTCTATAGCAACAGAACACAGCTGGCCAAAGCAATTATCCTGCCTCTGGCTGCTGAGATGTTTAAAGGCTGTTAGAAAAATGGGAAGTTGTGGGAATACCTTGAGTGTGATCACAGTAACATTTGCATTTAATTGCTGAGAGATGCTTTGAGACTTTGCTTCCAAATGAACATAGACAAGTGCACAAATACAGGATCACTTCAGAGGACTGAAGGAGAAAGGGAAAGGCAGCTCCAGCTCCTCATCCACTGACTGCAACTGTCTTATTGTGGACTCCAAACCAGTTCACCCAGTTACAGCCTCCATGGTTTCAGTTCTTTAATTCTCTTTCTTTAAAGTCTATAATATGCATTTTTTTGGCAACATTTTGTGTCTCCCATCCACCACACCAACATCTTCATCTTCTTACCACACATTAATTACCCTTTTGGAGGTATTCTGTCCTTTGATTTTAAACTTGGATCCTTCCCCTGACCCTTTATACCCCACAACCCCACTCAATTCATTCAGCCCTAATAAAAAGGCAGCTATGAGCACTTGGAGATAGAGGATTCCCTAATTCAGTCTCACCAGCAAAGAATACATGTCCTGTAGCCAAGCACCCACACTAACTGGTGTGGCAAGAAAGCTGACAAAGTAATTTCAAGCCAGAAGAAGCTGCCAAAGCCTATTTTGAAGGCCCCACCTCCCAGACGAGACGACCTCAACCTCTGGCCTGCTGGGCTGTTACAGCTGAGCTGACACCTCAGCCTGTCATGCCCAAAAAAAACAACAATCCCAGGGACACTGTCTGTGTCCTCCTGAACAAACTGAGTAGGTGTGAATAAAAAAACCAAACAACTGTCTCACCTGGGTTACCTTATTTTCATTGGGATCAGTTACACGGTCTACTCCGTACTCCAGGACATCCTGCATGCCCGGCTGTGATGGACAAGAAACATCAACAGCTTTGTGACTCTTTTGGTTTAAAGTCTGTGGGTCCCACAAATGAACGAGGACACCCCTGAGCCCTGAAGGGCTCCAGTGCCAGCCATGCCCTGGGAAGCTCTGCCCCCTGAATCTGGGAATGCCCCACTCGGAGTGCAGTAAAGTCACACCCCATCATCCTCTACTTACGGGGGTTCTGTTCACCAGCCAGTAGGCTCTCTCCTGGCAGTCCAGGGCGTACCTGTCCTCCTTCTTCCGCTCCTTCCCTGCCCTGCAAAGCCAACAACAGGGGAATACATGACTTTTCCCCTCCTAAAACCAGCAGGATGAGAAACAGGGAACACCTCCAGCCTCCCCTGCCCCATGAGTCCCAGAGTGACGCTCTGATGCTGCCTCCTGATCACATCTTGCCTCAGCTAATTCTGGGGCTGCAGATCATGTTCACATGGCCACACAAGGCTTTTGAGAAATCAGCATCTTCCTGAGCTCAGCTGGGAGCAGAGACATCCCCTTTTGATTAGACAGGCAGCCCTTTGGTAGCTTTATGCTGACAATCCGCTACTCGCCATCAGTCCTGCTGCTTCATGTTGATCCATCTCCCATGTCCCCGGGCAAAATATGAGGATTGCCACACAGAGATACATCCTGGACACATCCCATCCCTGTCTCACAGCAAAGTGGGGCCATTTCTCACAAGAAATTATTTGGAAATGGTACCAAGGAGTGTTCCCAGGCACCAAAACCCAAATCACCTCTGCAATTAAACAGAAGAGGCACTAGCATGGGTTTGGGCTTGGACCAACTAATTCTTTCCCAGAAAAGTCCTGGGCACAGTTTGGGACTTAGCATGGGGAAGGGAGCATTCCCAACAGGCTGTTTGCATGTGGCCTCCCTGCTGTGGTGAGCAGGGTGGATGCAGGCTGCTCTCACCAGTCTGCCCCAGCAGCACCAGCAAAGAGCCGCAGACGAGTTTAATCTGCTAGTTCAGACACAGGCTCGGTATCTGACTTTAAAGCTGCATTTGGCATCTCTTAGCCCAAGTCTGACCTCAATTTACAAGAACAACAGTCTCGTGTCTAATGAGACAGTTATCTGATGAGCTGTATTCCGGGGACTTGGCTGCCATCCCAGGGAAGACAGAGAGGCTGCTGAACAGCAGAGGCAGTGCCTGCCGAGCTGGGAGGTAAAAGGAGGTAAAAGGGATCCACAGGAGTAGGAAAGATCCTATGCCCAAAGGAGTAATCCCATCTAACATTCACCAACTTTCCTATTTGAAGGATTCAGCTTCTAAAATCAAGTCATTTCAGCTGGGTGTCTCAATATGCACCTCACAGTTTTCTCCAGAAGTCCCTGCTGGGAACATTTACTCTTTCTTCATTCAGGGCACTCCATTCAGCTGTGAGATGTGCAAGTAATAACTGACCCAGACCAACAACAGGCCCTAAGTCCAGTGGCCTGGTGCACAAATGCTCCTGGACAACACTGAGCTAAATGAAGCTGTTCCTAAGGAGGGCTTGCACACTGCAGCATCAGACCTCAGCTTCTTCAGGGAGCCACATCAGGTGCAAAATCCAAACCTCTCCTAAAAGTCATTTTAAAGCTGCAGTTGGTGTTTTTGAGGGGTAATTTAACTGTGCACCAAGACAGCCAAGCTCTGCTCCTTGTACCCTCCCCAGTGATGCAAATGAGGGAATGCAAGTCAACTCACTTATACTGCTCCTTGGCCTGCATAATGACAAAATCCCACTTGTAGTTTATTTTTTGATTGAGCATGTTGTAATGTTCCTGGAATAAAAATTAAAAAAGCAGTTAGTGTGAAAATTCTGACCAGGGCACTCCCATGCCTGGGTTTTCTTGACTCTCCATAGCTCAAGGAGGCCAAGCTGGTAAATGAGCCAGGAAATCTGGATTGCTCTGAACGTAATTACAAGAATTGCAACAGTTCAAAAATCCCATTGCAAGGAGAGCAATTACCCCTGTTAAAATTATAATTCACTTCCCAGCATTTATCTGTACTGGCTGTTTTTATACTTGCAAAATTTGGGCTTTTGATACTGCTGGAGTAACACCTCATGCAATTAAAGAGGTGATTTTTTGCCATACTCCATTAGCAAGAGAGGGCTAAAGCTGTAGCAAATGAGGGGCTTGTCATGGAACAAGTGCAGCATCTCCTCACCTTTTCATATTCTTCCAAAATCCCTTTCCTCTTAATGTTCTTCTTGGCCAGATAAATTGCTGTGCAGGGAGAAGCAAACAAGCAGTCAGTTATACTTAGACCAACAAGTCCAAGAACAATTAAAACAATTAAAAATCTACCCACATGACAAACCCAGGAGTCTTTGTCTGCTACAATATCTTCCTAACCACGAGCTCCAGGCTCACAAAAGCCCACTGGAGAAAAAAGAACTCAGTGCTTTCACTCTGGATGCCCAGGCTGGGAGCAGCCAGGCAGAACCGGTGGCGTGTGCCTCCTGCCAGGAATCACCCTTCCTTTGGGAACTCAGCCAGGTTTTCATGGATCAAGGGATACTGGACCAAATCCTTCAGATGCTGAGGTTCTTCAGAGTTTGACCTCCAAGCTTCCCGAACACAGGCCAGTGTTTTGCTCAAGTTCTAATAAAAACATTCCAATCTAAAAATGGGCTTTTTTATTTCCCCGGGAGATCTACAGCCTAATGCAGATAAAAGCCACAGAGGATAATGTTGGTGTAAACAAATCAGTCTGTGAACTGCACAGCCCACGGCAGCAAACCAAGCTCATCAGCCCAAGTTTCATGACCAGCTTTACACTAAAAAGCATCATAAAGGCAACATAAGATTTATGTGGAAAGAGCCATCAGGAGATATTGGAAGCCACCGTGCATTCTATAAAGAAAGAACCATCTCTGAATGCAGGGTTTGATTCAAATCTACAGGAAGATAGTCTTGGGCTCACATCCAGGAATACACTTAGCTACTCAGGGAAATCTAATCCTGTGTTTAAAGTCTTCCCTACCCAGGAAGGTAATTCAGATGTGTTCCTGTCAGATGGATCTTAGTGGAACATAAGAGCTTAAGCACTTTCTCTCATCAAGGCCACCACGAGATGGTCACACCCTCAATTCAGCACTACTGAGAATTATTCACAAGAGAGCATGAAAAAAAATGTAAGGGCTGGTCATTGCATGTGGAGACAAAGCACAAGGACAGAAGAGCAAACATGGTGCAGGACTTTGCACAAACCCACGGGCTTTCCCTGCACCTCCCAAACACGAGCAGTGCAGAACTCACCATAGTCTGTGTCATCAGCAGCCCAGCCCTGCACAGGCCAGAAATAGGGGGTCTGCAGAGAAATGAGTCTCTGGTTAGTGCACAAAGGCCTTGAACTCATGCCAAGAGACACCTGGAACCACCCACACTGGAGGGAGGAAAGTTCTCTGCTGTACTCAGAGCCTCAGTCCTTAGCTGTGTGTCAGCTGGCATGGTGGTGCAGGACAGCTACAGGAGAATCGACTGCCAATATCAAATCCACTCCACCTCTCCCATCAGTTAACATGGACAACCTCTCCCTGCTGGCTGAGCACTCACATTGAGATGCTGGAGCCTGATTTGGCACCATGTGGGAACCAGACTCCTCATTCCAAGTACCAGTGAGGGCACTCTGATTTCCCATTGTAGTGGAAACAGTCCAACCACAAACACTGAAAACATCCTCTTATAACTGTGCTTTTTGTACATTCATTATTCAATGATCCCAGATCATTCTACTTCCAACCAGCAATGCCATTTGCTACTTTAAAACCTGGAAGGGAACACACATTTGGAAGAAAGCAGAGCTATTATTAAGCTGAACAAGTACACTAATTTAGTTGAAGAAGCTATCACAGGTTCCCTGTAAACTGCACTCTGAGGCTTCTCTGTGGATCCCTTCCTCCTGCACACTGAACAACTGCAGGGCTGCACAGCCTGGACTCACAACTACAGGTCCTGGGGAACTGCCCCAGCTGCCTGCTTTTAATAAAAACTAGTGCTGAACCCTCTCACAACAGCTTAGAGAAGCTGCAACTCACTTGGAACCTGTACAGGCTGCCATCTGCCTTGAGGGTGAGGTTCTTTGGCTCCTGAAGAGGGTAGATGTATCCATATTTGACAAACAGGTCTCCCAGGTGGAGTGCCTCTGAAAATGGAGAAGGCAGACGTTTTGATTGCACAGAAACACTGCACTGGAATTAAAAGTGAGCTCCTATGCAGGGGAGAAGAATTCATCCAAAAGGTTTTGTCTATGGAGACCTTAAAGTTTTGTAACTCGAAGCTGAAAAAGCCTCAATTTCCACATTTTTACCCACCTTCTGCAGTGATCTGCAAGCGCTGAAGGATCCACTGCAATATATCATTACCTGCAAGGCAAAAAAACCCATCAGGTGAAAATGAGACCTCTCCAGTCCACAGCCCTCACTGAGCTCTGAATCCCCCCAAGGGCACAGACCCCTTTTTGCAAATGTACTTTCAAATGCACCACACAAGGCAGCACAGATGAAATGCACTGCTGGTCTCCCACTGGCCATCCTGTCACTCACCAAGCCAGCACCATTCCCTGGGAGAGGGAGCCCGAGGCAGGCAGTGACCCTGGGATGGCACAGCAAGAGTGTGCACAAGCACACCTGGCCTGAGCTGCACCTAAACCCTCACAGGTGGCTTAGAGAGGGTTTAAGCAATACAACAGATTTCACACCCAGGGAAGGTGAAGTGCCTTAAGCAATGCAACAGCCTTCACACCCAGGGAAGGTGAAGTGCCACTTGTTTTGCATCACCTTGTCTTGAAAGATTAACTGCAAAGAACCTCCAGATTCACAGATCACAGTCCCGTGTCAGTTTTATAGAACACCAGTGACTGGTGCTCTAAGAGTCCTTGAAGGAACAGAAGGGATATCTGAATCTCAGACCCAAGCTGCAGTGGTAACAGGATTTATCAAAGGGAGACAAGATTTCTGCATTCACACACATTTTATCTCTCCCAGTTCTTTTCTTGGAGTGTGAGGAGTCGTACCCACAGTCAGCATAAATCTCCAGCAGTTTCAGTTTTATGTTCTGGGGGGCAAATTTCATGAACCTCCTTCCATTTAAAGAGGGTAAAAATGCACTTGTTCCCTGATCAATTACTGGTCTTTCCTTCCAGACCTCCCTTAGGATTGCAGACTGAGGTGTCGACCTTTCTTGACATTGCAGTGATGACTTAACTTTCTAATAGGGGCTCAGAGCTCTTATCCTACTGCCAGCTTCCTGAAATAGATGAAATTAAAGGATTATCTCATCACTCATTTCTAGACAGCTCTCTCTGTAAGCACTTTCCCCCAAAGGTGCACATTCAACATCGAGGTTTATTTGTGAGCCATTTTACTGACTTTGAGTGAATTTAACTAGTTGGCCTCCTGCACATGCAGAGCCAGGCTCTCTCCAGTGGATCTGTGTCCACAGCTCCAATGCCTTCACCAGACCCAGGCTCTCTCCAGTGGATCTGTGTCCACAGCTCCAATGCCTTCACTAGACCCAGGCTCTCTCCAGTGGATCTGTGTCCACAGCTCCAATGCCTCCACCAGACCCAGGCTCTCTCCAGTGGATCTGTGTCCACTGCTCCAGTACCTTCACCAGACCCTTGCCAGACATGAATCAGTATCTTTTGCAACAGCCAGTAGTCCATCAGTATCCATGCAGCTTGTGCAGCACTAAAAATATCACAGTTTAGAGAGCAGTGAGCAAAGGGACTGGAACTCACTTGCCTCTCAGAAGTGGACTAGAATTTATGACTTATGCAAGAGGCAACTTGCAGCACTTTTAGTTAAGGAACCAGAATGAAGCAGGCAGCACGCAAAGAGGATGAGTGCCAACAGGCACTGCCCCTCCACACCAGCTGGCCATGGACTTTTAGGAAGTGGTATTTTATGTTGGGCAGACATCAAGAGAAGTTCTTGTTCCCCTTCACTTAATCTGTGTGGGACACCATCTTCAGCACAGGGGAATCTTCCCTGCAGCGCTGCCTTAACTATTCCCTGACAGCTCTGGGAGGCAAGGCCAGCTCCTTTGTACATGCAAACCTCCACCAAACTCAGCTGCATAATAACTGTGTGAGCCAGGATGTGGTTTGCACTGCAATGCATGGAGGGTGCTGCTGAGAACGAGCTTCAGATGTGTCCAAGTTCTTCCTGACCCTTTCACCGACTGACTCTACCCATGGGCAAGAGACTTCAGTGGCTCTGCATCCTCGCCTTTAAAAAAAAAAAAAAATTGGGGCAAACAACACCCAGGGCCTACCAGACTTTGCAAACACAGTGGGGAAAGTCTCCTGAGTTGCCTGGAGCAAACTCACTGGTTTCAGTGGGAGTTTTTGTTCTGAATTTCAAAGCGCTGCAGAAAGACCAAAGCGGGAGGAAGAAACTTTGGTAAGAGTATCTGTGAATATTTACAGCAGAGGGTTCCTCACAAGAGCTTTTGTGGAGGCTTGGAGCACAGGGAAGCAGAGGTACTGATAGTGCCCAGTCAAAGGAGGAGCAGGCACAAGGAGGCTGAGATAAGAGCTGCCTGTAACACTGAACACAGCACAGCTCCTGTCTGCTGCTTCCTCAGCCTGCTTGAATGAGGCAAAGCTGTCACTTAGAGGCACAGAAGTGGGTTGAGTATTTTGTGTTTTCCTGCCTACTAAAGAAAAATTATTACTAGGAGTAAACATTAAATGGGAGACTAATTGCTTATTGCTCATTTCTAAAGTACCATCTTTCAGTCTGCCTCCAGGCTGCTTATTTTAATGGGGTTTTAATATTTATCTTTATTTGTGATCCAGCCTCACTGGGAATATGATAAGTCTGGAGGCTGCAGTACTTATTCACCTCTATGCTGAAAGAAAGCAAGGTCACTTGAGTTAACCCCCAGGAGACAGCTGAAAGTGCAAGTTATCAATCTTTGTGTCTCTGACTCAAAGAGCAGGAATGAAGTGAGACACAAGTGAGGATGAGATAAAGGGAGCAGGTACATCTCAAAGGATGTACAGTGAATATTTGTTGGGAAAAAGGCTCCAGCATTCAGCCAGGCACTAGCAACCCTGGCCATGGGGTCCACACACAGCTTTTCTCTGCTGAACTTTCTTAGCCAGGTCCCTTCCCCCAGGGAAGCTCTTACCTGTCACAGCATGTGGGATGCTGGCAACCATCACTGTCTGTGTCTGTGTCTTGATGCCTGTGTCTGGACTCTGCATCTCCATCATAAGTGCTTCAATCTGCAAAGCATGGGATGGGATGGATTACAGGAGTGGGCAGGAGGGAGCCCCAGGACCACTGCAGCATTCCAGAGGGGTGGGCAGTGGTGTGCCACAGGAATGGATTTGACAGCCACAACCCTCTCCAAACCTCCCCCCTGCCATGAGAGATGCCACCTCCAAACCACATCAGCTCTCACACTGACTCACAGGGTCGCTCCCTCCCACTGAACACAGCCAGGGTTAGCAGACCAGGGACAGGATGCAACCACTCCATGAGAGCTGAGTTCAGAAAAAAGAAATAAATAAAATCTCTGCTACCCATAAATGTTCCTCTCTAGCTCAGTGGGATCTTTGCTGGGGCAATTTGAAAGAAAAAAAAAGGGGAGGAAATAGAATCTGTGCTTCTATTGTACAGATCCCCCAGCTGTGCACAGACTTGTAGATATTGCACCATGCACCATGTATATAAGCAATATTTTGGCTGGAGACCAAACAGCAAAGGTTCTGTTTCTGGTCTGCTGATAATCACCAGGCAGGACTGCAGAAGAGCAAGAGAAGCACATTGCTTTGCTCTGGGGCTGAGCAAGAAGCTCAAACTGGGGGGTGGGGGGGATGAGAACTGTCCTTTGAGACAGCACAGCCTGAGACACACAGCTTTGAGACAGGGTCTATGGGCAGCAGAGCTCAGTCCCTCCAGGGATGGGGCAGAGACACACCACCCAGAGCAACATCATCCCATCTGGCAGCATCTCCCACCTGGACTCCTGAGTGATGCTTTTAACAGAGAATGAGTCTCACCCTCAGGGCCAGACCTCTTCTATTTCTGGTTTCCAATTATCTTTAATTATTTTAAAAGATCTTTTATTTGACTTCCTACTAGCACCATCCCAAAAGCACAAGACCCCTGCTTCCCCTTGGGATCCTCTGCTCAGATGGGTGGATTGGGCCACGCTCCTCACCTCCCTGCTTTAGATCATCCGAGTGCTGTGAGAGCACTGGTTTTGGGGATGATGCTCTTCTTTCTGTCTTCTGCTTCCAGAGATACTAAATCAAAGCTGTTTCAACAGGACCAATTTGGTCTCTCTGCACATTCATTTTGGGTGAGGCTGTAGCTTTTTAACTAGGAGTAGAGGATTTAATGAGTGTGACTTGATGACACTCACGCATAATGAAGGGCATTGTCTTCACAGGCACCACAGTGACTTTGTTCCCAAGTCTTGCCAAGTTCAGTGAGGATTTAAGCTGTAGTGACAGGATGCACCCTGGGCCTGCCAGTAAAACTGGGTTTTCAACTGCTTTTAAAGGCAGTGACAAATTAATACTAAAACAGAGAAGCCTGGTAAAACTTCACACAAATATTTGTATAAATACGTATACAAAATAATTTAAAATAGCAAAACCAGACCCAAAGTGATGCAGACTTTCTTAGGCCTTTCAACAGAACCCACAATTTCAGCCTCAGCAAATTCAAGGCTGTGCATGGAGAGATGCCTGTGGAGCTGTGTGGGATGAGCTGAGGTAGGATGGTCCAGCAGGCAGGGAGCTAATTTAGGAAATTCAGATTCAGTTCCCTCTAAGCCTCTCAGGTATCTTGGGAAGTCACTTACTCTCTATAACTGCACAGTCACTCAGCAGGGAACACTTCAGCACATGGATACAGGGGGCAAACACAGCCCTGCTCATCCCCACCACACCCCAGTGCTGCGACCACCCGGCAGGTCCCACCAGGCTCATGCAGGATTTGTTCCCTGCAAGTGGCACAGCACATCCCTCTCCAGCACAGGGCTGCTGTTCTACCCTGGTGGGCTCAAACAGGTCTTTAACCAGCTGAAAGCAGGGAATTGGCTCAGAAACCCACACAGCCTCCCAGCACAGCGTGTTCCCTTCCTTCAACCAGCAGCTCTTGTCGCCTTCATACCCTGCCACACTCCCTCTTGTCACTGGAGAAATTATATGCATTAAAAAGGAAGGAGCTGCTGTTAGGGCTGAAAACCATTCACCTTGCTGATCAAAACTCAGCCTGTCTCTTCTCCTAAGGGAACACTGGTGATTATGGTGACCAGGAGTTGCCATTGGCACCGGTGAGAGGCCAGGAGGGCTGCTTAAAACCCAGCAGGAGCATTTCCTTGCTTTGCTCAGGGCTCCAGTACATTCTGTCACGCTTTCAGCCAGGAAAGAGCTGCCTGCTTTGAATTTTGCAGAGCCAGAAGCCACTTCCTGGTGCTGGCTGGTGGGTGGAGATGCACACAGAGGTAAATATCAGGACTTCCAAAGGAGCCAGGCTCTGGGGAGAGCTCACCTCAAGCACAGAGCCACCATGGGGCACATGGAGTTCTCCCTTCAGAGCAACAAGAATCTCTTCATGGAGGTGACCTCACCCTGAAAGCCACAAAGGAGCAACAGGAAAACTGTCTGTCCCCCATCTAATTGCAGGAAGTCACAGGGCTCACTGAGTGCAAAGCAAAACTCAAACTCACAGCTTGGGAAATGCCCAGGCAGATGAGGACCAGCAGCTGCTGGAAGGTCTAAGCCTGAGAAGCCAAGCCTGGCTGGAAAAGCCTCCAGCCAGGCTGGGGATGGTCCCTCCCTGGTTGCTGTGCAGCTTTGGGAGCAGCCACTGGGAACCAGAGCAAGGAAGAGGCAGAGGAAAAGGCAAACAGCATCCAATCCATCAGCCCTACGCAGAAGGTATGAGTCACAATGCAGCTCCTGTAGCACAGCAAGGAAAAACACACAGCCCAGCAGCTGCAGGAAAGCACAGCCCTGCTTCCAGCTTTGCCAGGGGATGCCCAACAGAGCCAGACCCTGATCCTGGAGCAGGCACAGGCACCAAGGGCTTGGCCTCACTGAAGTTCTCCCAGCACCCAGCCAAGTGCATCCAGCCAAAACACATTTCAGGGGCTTCTGTCCCAACAGATCTTTGTGCCAGTATTCTTCTTACCAAGACAGTTTATAGAATAAAGCAGCCTAAGTGTCAGCATGAGTGTTTGCTGGATGAGCAGGTGTTGCAGGGCCTTGGAGGGGGCTCTCCAATCCCCCCCTTGGTTCAGCCATGAAGACCAAGCTCCACATCGAGCCCAAGTCGTGCAGAGCAGCCTCACAGCAAGAACACAGCACTGCTAAAGCAACCCCCTGTCCTCTCCCCGTGTCAGTGGCAGGATTGCTGTGATCATGAGCTTCATGCTGGAGCAGCACCACAGAAAGGCACACGGGGCCAGCAGCCTGAGAGCAGGGCAGGGATCCCCTGTGTGTCAGCTGGCAGCAAAGCGTGAGCACGGGCTTAAGCAATTAACAAAGCTCCTCTCCAGGATTTTAGGTCCTTGTGGATTTAAGCCTGTAAGGTGCTCACTGGATGCTCAGCATCCTCAGCTCCCACCACAGGCAACCTGTAAGGGTGATTGGTGTACCCAGACAGCTCTGAGGACGTGGCTGGCTGCACACAGACCACACTGCCACAGAACAGCCAAGGCTCCAAACACAGCTTCTCCAAGGTCTGGAAAGAACAGAGGAGGAACAAAAGCAAAGATGAGAGCCAGGGCCTTTCTGCTGACCACCCAGGAGCTTCCTTTCCTGCTGCTAACAGGTCTTAGACCAGCAAAGCACAGGCACTACTGAAACCCCCTCGCTGCTCACAGTGTGAGTGGTGCTTGCTCTGTGTGTGAGTGGTGAACGCTCTGTAATAGCAATTTGCTGTACTCTGACAGGTCTTCCCACCTGAGGAACTTGGAGCACTTTGCAAAGGCTGCTGCACTCCCACAGAGCAGCTGAAGCACAGCTGCTGGCGGTTGTTTTCTCAAAGCACACAGCTTCTCCTCTGCACCCCCGCACTCGACTCCACAGAGTATTACTCAGTGCAGAATTTAGCCCAGAGTATTTCCCTTGGCAGGGCTCCCCAGCCAAATTTACCCTGCAAGACTCAGCATCAAAGAAAATACCCTCTTTACTTCCTCTGGCGTAAAAAGCACACTGCTTGTACCAAAAAGCAGTGAAAAGCACACACTGCTATGTAAGGCTCATACCTTAGCATTGAACAGCCTCAAATTCCCCTCCCTTCACCCCTGGAATCCTCCTTAGATCATGGGCGTTGAGGAGAGCTAACTACAACTGGAACAGCAACTCGCTGGGCATACTTGTCACTGGAAATTCAGTTAATTCCACTCAACAGGATAAGCCACAGGCAGGAGAGGTGAGTAGGAGAAAAGCTAGCTTAATACTCTGCTTTTTAAAATCTGCAGATACCAGTTTACTACAACTGGCGACGCTTTTGAATGAATGCTACAGAAAAAAAACCCCACCAAATGCTTTACAAAATTACACATCACACCCAAAAGCGTGGGCAATAGTTCTTCCCACGCCTTAGAGTGCTTCTGGTCACAAATACGCTCATTTCTGAAAAACTGGAAGGAGGCAGAGAGCAGACACTGGCTGTAATACATCCTCTGAAAGCAGACATCAGCTGCAAACACTGGGAACCACACACCGGACCAACTGGCCCAGAGCTGCATTGACTGGCCTGGCACTGCAGGTGATGGGTTTTCCCCTGGGAAACAACACATTTGAGCGGTTTGGGGGAAAAATATAGGAGGGGGAGGAAACGTGTCAGGAGAATCATTCAGCTGAGGCTAAGCTATAAAAATAAACAAAATTACAGTTCTCTTTTCTCCGTCACTTCAGCACACACCGACCCCCAGAGCCAGTTGGGGTCCACGGGGCTCTGCAACAGGTCATGGCCCCAAACTCCCGGGGATGGGGCTGTCACCCCTCGGACCCCACACGCCCAGAGCTGCCCCGGGGGAGCCGCGGCCGAGCAGGATGCTGTGAACACACCTCACCCCAGTCAAAGCAGAGCCAGCGCTGCCCCGGGCACCGCATCGCCCCGCCCGGACGCGGCACCGGCGTGCCCGCCAGCGCTGATGCCCATAACGGTGCGGCTGTCCCGGCGCTCACCTTTTTGAGGAAGGCCATCCGCGGGCGGTATCGCTGGCCCTGGTCGAGCCGTGTGACGGTCATGGTGGCGGAGAGGCGGCGGAGCGGTGGCGGAGCGGAGGCAGCGGCGGAGCGGCCCCGGCCGGGCGCACCTGGCTGCGGGCACCCACACCCGCCGGGGGCGGCGCCACCGCCGCGCGCCGCAGCCAATCAGCGCCCGCCGCCCCGCGCTCATTTGCATGAAGGGGCGCGCGGCGGCCGCGTGGGGGCGCTCGAGGGAGCGCGCGGAGGGGCCGGGAATGGGAATGGGAATGGGAATGGGAATGGGAATGGGAATGGGAATGGGAATGGGGATGGGAATCGGAATGGGAATGGGGATGGGGATGGGAATGGGAATGGGAATGGGAATGGGAATGGGGATGGGGATGGGGATGGGGATGGGAATGGGAATGGGAATGGGGATGGGGATGGGAATGGGAATGGGAATGGGGATGGGGATGGGAATGGGAATGGCAATGGGATGGGATGGGAATGGCGATGGGATGGGATGGGATGGGATGGGATGGGACGGGATGGGATGGGATGGGATGGGATGGGATGAGATGGGATGGGATAAAGTGTAGTGCAATGGAATGGAGTGGAATGAGATGGAAGGAGGGGGCCAGCGCTGGGTGCAGGGCCTTAGGTCTGGGTTTGGAGCAGGGATGGGGGCTGATGGAAAGCCGATGGTCCGGGTGGGGTCATGCAGTGCCCAGGGCAGCGCTGGCGCTACTTTGGCCGGGGTGGGCTGTGTTCACAGCATCCTGTTTGGCCACAGCTCCCCTGGGGCACCATTGGGTGTCTGAGGTCCGAGCAGGGACAGCCCCAATCCCGGGAGTTTGGGGCCATGACCTGTTGCAGAGCTTGTGGATGCCAGCTGGCTCTGGGGGTCAGGCTGGGGGGCAGCGTGAGCTGAAGTGACAGAGAAAACAAAGGTGTGGGGTCATTCTGGAAAGTGCTGGGTGCCAGCAGCAGTCCAGGAGAGCTGAGTTTGGGAGTCACACTGGAAACAGCCCTTTTCATAGAGCAGGTGGTGTTGGGGAGGCAGCAGCTGGCAAAGCCCCTGTGCACTGCTCGTTTCTCTGGAGAGGGGAGAATCTCCCCCTGAAGCACTCCTGGTGTGGAGCTGGGCTGAACACAGGCACCAAGGAGTTGTGACTGGGAATTGTGGTGCGTGTGCTGCCCCTTGAGTGCCACCAACCTCGGGCAGCTCAGCTGTGGATGCAGGAGCCAGCTGGGCGGTTTGGGGAGTTGGTGGCTTTTCCATGTGGGGAAATGGTGACGAATGGTGATGAGAGGAAGACCATGGGGTTAAAGTGCTTCCTCAAAACCAAGCTGTCTCATGCCCATGGGCGGGGGAACAGCACCTGACTGGCAGCACTGGGAAACCAAGAGCTCTGTTTTCCCGGTTTCTCCAGAAAGCGGTGGGATTTCCTTCCTGCTGTTCCTCGGAACCATTTGTAGTTTAAAACAGAACAACTTGTTTTGTTATACAAGTGGTGGTGGGAGGACTCAGAAATATTCCAGGTGAGGTGCAAACACTGGCCTAAGCAAAGGATCAATCACCACGAACTGCACAAGCCCCACATACTCAGAGGAATGGTCATTTCAACCCAAAATACTGACTTTAATGGTTCCACTGAGGAATACAGGTGCCTTATTCATGAGAAACATTTGAAAACTGGGTCTACAAATGAGTTCAGAAATAAAACTGTCTTACAGGAAATCCAGGAGAGATAGCTCTGAAAAGCTCATGCTGAGGTGTGAGCTCTTCAGCCTTGTTGAGCTCCAAAGATCCCGGTAATTTTAAATCCTGCTGATCCCCCAGACACCCCTTCGTAGATCAGGTGTGGGGTTTTTCCATTTTTAGTTGTCTCTGATGAGCTTTAATAAAGCTTCTGGATATTTCTCTCTTTATTATAAAGCTACTTGGTGTCCCTGCTATAGAAGATGTCCAATGTAAAGTCAGCTTTATTAACATCTGCGAATGACCCACAGCACCAAACAGACAGTCAGAGATGAACCACATTTCACCTGTGCCCAGGTGAACCACCCCAGTGCTTAATGCTCTTGGGCAGATCTGCCACGTGAAGCATGAGGCACGTAAATCAGATTATAGAGGCTTGTCGAGGGCAGACACTCCTGGGCCTCTAATCACAAACCCCACACTTCTGGAAAGCAAAGAATTCCATAGTCCCTGACACAGTCTGGCTGTTTATGTGTGAATTGGTTGGTAGAGAAAGCAAGGGACTTGAACAGCAGGAAGAGTGGTGGAGAACAGCAATAGCAGCAGGGTCCCTGCTGATTTCTGACTCCCCAAGTTCATCCTGGCCTTCCCGCCCCACAGGTTATGTAGAAATACATTCCCTGGGGAATTGCCTTTACCTCCCAGTACCCACTTTCTGCTGTAAATGCAGTGCTATTTATGTAGCTGCAAGTTTCCATGGATGTTCATAGCCCAGGCTGGAGGCAAATGATGCTGTAGTGGAAACACACTCGTAGTCATCACATCACAGGGCAATGGTGCATGTCCATGAGCTCTGCAGAGCCCACAGAACCCTCTCAGCCTGCACAGGGCTGGGGATTGAGAGGTGGGGTTTGTCTCTCTGCTCTCCTTGTGAAGCCCCACAAGCTGTGATGGTTCTTAGCAGACCCGCTCACAACTCTCGACAGTCTCTCTCGTGGAGAGCACTGCGGAGGGAATCCCCCCTTTTCTGAAAGATCACGTTTCCTACGTGGTTGCCCCTTCTTCACACATCAGAAGTTGAATCATGCAACACAAAAGGCATGTGGTGAGTAAACTACCTTTCTATCTAAGGAAACTGGGGACGGCCCTGAGGGGAAGGAAGGAGTAACGTAAGTGAAGCGATGAGAGCAGCAAGTGGAGGCTCAATTTCAGCACACAGTTCCTTCCAGGAAGATTTCAAAGCAGTTTACCAAAAAAAAAAAAAAAAAAAAAAGAAGTAAAAATTGTGCAAACTGTGGCATAAAGACGTGACAGTCTCGAGTCTCCCAGCAAGGCAATGGTTAAAGGAATATCTCCAGGGTCTGTTGTCCTGCCTGGTGGGGTACAAGCACTCAAATGAGAAGCTTCCTTAGTAGCCACATGGGAAGAGCTGTGAGCACAAATGGGCAGCATTTGCTTCCCGTCACTCCTGGGCTTTCCAGGAAAGCTAAGGAAAGAAGTGGCAAAGAGGAAGGAAAAAAGCCAAACAGAGAAAGACCTTACGCACTCTGCCTTAGAGAAGAAGCCCAGCTGCTGCGGTGGGAGGATGCAGCTGGGGTAACACCTGACCTGGATGATGCTGAGCCCTCTCCAGGGAACACCGTTATCCTCAGCACAGGAATAGCCCTTCCCACTGTGCAGCACGCTGAGAGCCACGCTCCTGTGCCAGGAGATTGGGAATGACATACCTGGGAGGTGTTGGAGAGCTGCCCAGCCAAGGGGAACATGAAGGGGAAAGGAGGGAGGAAGTCAGGGACTACCCAAGACTTAGATGACTTGGCTGTAGAAACTCAGGAGACCTCTGCAGTTCTGGAGATGAGAGCTGTGTCAAAAAATTAGTTTTAAAACTTAGACCAGAGCTCAGGAATGTCTGGCTTCCACAGCTGTACTAAGACCACCAGTATGTGCTCCTTGGGTCACTGCATTAATTTTATACCACATCCTGCTCTCCTAAGAGAAATGCCTTTTTTTTTTTAGGTAAGGCCACATGAAAAAATTCCTGTGGAACTTACCTCCATGTGGAGCCAAACTCTAAGGTGTGAACACTGATACTCACTGCAGATAACACTGATACTCATCACAGATTTTGAAGGTCCTTCCAATTGAGGCAAAGTGACATTTCCATGTGGTAAAGCCAGTAACAGATAAAGATTTCCACTGTCTTTTGCTCACTGTCTCCGTGCAGCCCCACATGAGGCCAGACCCAGAGTGTTTGCTCAGCCTGGTGCCACAGCCCAGCAGTACCAGGAAGCTCCTCTGAGACAGGCAAAGAGGAAGTACGTGCCAATTTTTCAAAGTGTTTTAAAAAAACTACTCTCTTTCTGTACCGACAACAAAACCTGCTTAGCTGGCAAGTGCCATCCTGCCCCCCTGACTGAGGGCTGACCTCTCTGGGCCATTCACCTGGCACCTTCCCTGCAGCAGCAGGGACAGCTGAGCCTGGGGATCGTTTCCACAGAATCCCATAATTCCACAATAGTTAGGGTTGGAAGGGACTTCTGGAATGATGCAGTCCAACCCCCTGCCAAGGCAGCGTCACCTGGAGCAGGTGACACAGGAACGTGTCCAGGTGTGTTTTGAAGGTCTCTAGAGAGACTCCACACCCTCCTTGGGCAGCTGTTCCAGTGCTCTGTCACCCTCAACAGAACGAATTTCCTCCTCATGTTGAGGTGGAACTTCTTGTGTTTTAGTTTATGGCTATTGCTCCTCATCCTGTCACTGGGTACCACTGAAAAGACTCTGGCACCGTCCTCTTGGCACCTGCCTGTGAGATACTTATATGCATTGATGAGATCCCCCTCTCAGTCTCCTCTTCTCTAGACTAAACAGGCCCATGTGAAGCCAGGGCCAAGGCCAGGGCCAGGGATGGGGAGGAAGACATGGACAGGAGTGTCTGCTACTGTTCCTGTGTTGAGTCCTGTGTCAGTTCTGGGCCCCTCAGTTGAGGAAAGACATTCATTCTGTGAGTTAGTCTGTTCTGCCATGCCCACGGTGAGAGGACAAGAGGACATGGCCTCAAGGTGAAACAGGGGAGATTCAGAGTAGACATTAGAAAAACCAATTTTCACTGTTAGGGTGGTCAGGCATTGGATCAGGTTTCCCAGGGAGGTGGTGGAGTCACCATCCCTGGAGGTGTTTAAGAGGCATCTTGGACCTGGTGCTGAGTGGATGGTTGGGCTGGGTGATCTTAAAGGTCTCTTCCAACCTTGATGATTCTATGAAGTCATTCTCCACCTTCAACTTTGTTCTCTATTAGCGAAGCACTGTAAAATTATGATCATGTGAATCTATAAACCTTTAACTCCATTACACAGCAGCACCCTGTGGCTGAATGTTCTTTCACTGTGAGTGTTTCCTCAGGAGCAATCTCGCTCTA